TCTCTCTCCCTCTCCCTGTCTTCCTCTTTCTCTCTTCCACTCTCCATGTGTCTTGTCAGTTGTGTTTGGCAATGGTGTCATTATTGGGCAGCCCATATCACACTTCCTCCGATGAGCTGTCTGTCTGCTCTCTCTGTCTCTCGTTCCTCTTCTCTCCCTCTCTCTCTCTCTTTCAATACCCCTGCTAGTGAGTTGCCCAAGGCGGTTGTGTGTCACCTTTATAGCCAAGACACGCTGTCCCTCTCAGACGTTACCCATGATGCCTTGCACAGCTGCCACTTAATCTCCATCCCCTGCAGCTTGTCCACATCGCCAAACTGAATGACATGAACAAAAACAGTAAACACACCATGTGAAACAGCACAGAAATACATCGAGAAAAATATAATGAAAGTCTGTAACATCAAGATCATAATTTAAAATCTAAACAAAACTTTGACTGTTGTGATTCACGCCCCAGAAACCCCCTTCTTGTCTATGGTTGGACTTGATGAATTGTACCTTTTAGTGCTGTGAAGATCAGAATTTAGAAAGAGGCAGTTAATAATCACTAGGTCTAACACTAATCGTTTCTGTCTCAGCCTTTTGTATAGTCCGGGGCTGTAGCTTTACCCATTCCAATAAACATGATACACAAGACCTGTTCCACTCAAAGGTCTGTCAGGTAGTCCATCTTTTATCTCCACCATCATATTCAACATGCGAACAAATAGCAATAGGTTGTGAAACTCTCCTGTTTTTGTTCAGACACTGACCCTGTGTCACTCAGGGTCATCCCTCTGTGACTTCCCATAGTGTGTGTGTTTGTCAGGACCTTGTCTTTCAGCTGGGAGCTCCTGATTGTGAGACACCCGTGTGTGGCAGATGAGACGGACCGTCAGTCAGCTGTGGCCTGGCTGCCCTTTGAAGGCCAGGCCAGGGGGCGAAGAGGTGCCGCAAATGGCCTGTGAAGTTTACATACACTGCCCACCGCTAAACAGATTAGCTCTAATGAAGTGTCTAATGCCGGGCCCGCTGGCTGACATAATCCTGCCTGGCAGCCCGGCCCTTGGCTGCCAAAAAAACGCCCTCCCTCCAGCCCTCTCTTCCGCCCTCGCACGGCCTGTCCTGCCACCCAGGGCGACTCCACGCGGGGAGGTGCCCACTGTTAATCATGCCGGACAGTGTGCGATCTGACATGCAAATGTAGGTCATTGCATATGTAAATGTGTGATTATGGGGCTAGCATGCCAGGACACATTAGCAAGACTGTGCTCTCAGCAGGCGGTTGTCACAGCCCTTTAGAGGCTCATGCTAACATTTGTCAAGCTACCACGCAGCGAATGAAAGCAATGCCCTCTTGTCCTCTGCTCTCCCTTTCTCTCTCCCCATCTCTCTCTCACTTTCTGGCTATATTTCATTCTCTCTTTCTGTCCATCTCAGACCTGCACACCTCTATCTATCCATCCTGCAGCCTTGCAACTATATGCTTCTATCATTAAGAAGAATCATTACAAAATTTCAGTGTGACACACCTTCTAGGCTTTTGTGTAGTTTTGAATTTTGCATATCTTTAATGCAAACAATGTTAGTGTTAAAGTATTTAGGGGTAGCTATTAACAAAGCACAATAGCAGTTCATTAATGTCGAACAGTGGGTTATGGTGCAGTATGTCATGCTCGCTGTCAGAGTGGTTCTCAGACAGCTCGGGATGATGGTGGTGTCATGCAAAAAAATGCACAAACCTTGGTGGTGTTAATTGGACAGGGCATTTTATTGGCTCACACCTTTTCCTTTGGCTGTCAGCTTTAAAAAGCAATGAAATGCTTAAATTGGTAGCCTTCTCTGTCCTTACGCCAAACATATATGAACAGTCTTGTTTAGAGTTATTTGATGATGAATCAGTGTTTGACAAGTAGAAAAAGAAAACCCTTCCAACATCTCAGATGTAAGAATTTGCTGCATTTCTGTCTTTTATATAATTTTAAATTGAATATTTTTTTTGTTTAGCTCTGTTGACCCGACATGACAAACAACTTATCTCTTGGAGATTGTAAATAATCCTTTTCAAATTTTCATCCATTTTACAGGCAAGCATTAATTCGGTTGGTTGCTGGTTGGAAAAAAACTCATCAGATGAGTCAGTAGTGAAAGTAATCATTAGGTGCAGCTCTACTAACCACGCAGCTGAACTTGTTTTTTCTTTGGGTAGCCTGGTCGGGTTGAATTTTTTTCCTGTGAATTAAAATCTTATGAGTAGAGAGTAGACAGCGGGAATCCTGTATAGCCTTTGGTCTGTGCTCATGGCAACTCTTTTAAAAGTGTGAAACGCAAGTGAGGAGAATGAGTATGACGATGCTCTTAGTGCTTAGGAGACACATTTTCAACCTTCTCCCATTCTTCATCTTCCTTCCCTCTGTCCTAAGCCACTTGCCCCTGAGCTGCTCCCACAGCTACATGTGCCAATGACACGTTGTGGCGTTCTGATATCTGTCACCTTCTGTTTGCTCCTGCTGACGCCTTGTACAAGTTTACCAAAAGGCTGGAAAGGTCATGCAGCCTGCTCTGTGCTTTTTCACACATGATATCCAGGGGGCTCATTCTGGTTTATTTTGAGTGTTTTTAAACAGTTTTGTAATTGTGGAAAGTGAGTGTCTCAGCTTGATGCGCCAGCCCTGTGGTGAGGACTCTTGTAGTAAACAATAAATGGACTTATCTATTGCAGCACACTCAAACTGCTTTCCCATTCACCCATTTGCACACTGGTGCCTCTGGGAGAAGCCAGGGATCGAACCCTCTGTTTAGGAGACAAACCGCTCTACCTCCTGTGGCTCTACTGTGGGCCAGTGTTGGGCTGTCTGAGATACAACTTTGCAAACAAAGGGATTCTTGTGAACTTAAATCAAGTTGGATGGAATGATTAGATGCCTCCATTTATGTAATGGGATAGTGTATCTATCCCCATGGGGAAATAGTTTTTTCACTCTCCCGCAGGGATGGCACAGCATTGCTTCAGCTACAGAACAGCATTCATGACGCCAGGGTTGATTTGTTAGGCTGTCTAGGAGATGTAAGGTCTAATTAAGGTTTAATTAACATTGTCAATCCACATATACAATTAAAATGAAACTATAATTGCCAACTGTAGTAATCAGAAGTTAAAGCTTGGTGCCAGCATGGCAGCCTCTTCCAAAAGATTCTGACACTCTCCTGTTGCCTGTAAAAAGTTTAGTCAGGTAAAATGTTGACTTGCTTCTTGTGAGTAAAACATTTCTGAACATTTGAAAACATTCGCAGTTCCAAACCTCTAGGTGTTTTTGGTTAGATATGTAAGGATTTTTTTTCCATGTATAGACTGTAGTGAGGTGATGTAGCGCTGCAGTTAAGCGTGTGCACATTCCTCAACGCCTTTCACAGCATGAGACATCAGCTTAATGCCATTCATATCATCAAAGGCCTAGAGCAGCCTCTCGGCAAATAAACTGCAGAAGCTTGGGCTCACCCACATTCTTCAGCCCTCATCCTTTCCTCCTTCAGTAATCTGATGTTACTGTAGTTGCACTTATATGGTGAATACACGATTGCTGCCAAATGTCTAAATCATTTGATTTGAATGTATTTATTGTTTGTTTCTACTATGTGCATGCATGTGTGGACATATATTAACAGAGCTGTTTTGTGTTTCTACTTTCAGAAACCACTGCAGCCAGATATGGGGCATAATTCATTGGCTAACTTTCAGATTGAGAAGAAGATTGGACGTGGGCAGTTCAGCGAGGTGTACCGGGCAAGGTACCTGCTAGACAACACATCAGTGGCCCTGAAGAAAGTCCAGGTAAGACACAGTAAACCTGTCACTACCAAATGCAGCCAGTAGTTTAAGCCAAAGTAAAGTGTCGAACAAGTTTAATCTCTAACAGCCTTATCATGGTCCATCTCTGGTAGGTTGTCACTTTGACACAAGGCAAAAGAGTTGTGAACAATTTAGCACTGGGAATTCATCTAACCTCCATGCAGGATATTCACAGTATCTGTGGGTCTTAAAAAGTATTAAAAGGTGATAAATCAATTTAGCAAAAATTAAAGCCTTTAAAAAAACGTGGTCATGAGCTTTGGGTCATGACCGAAAGGGCAAGATCCCGGATACAGGCGGCCGAAATGAACTTCCTAGCTGGGTGGCCGGGTGCACCCTCAGAGATAGGGCGAGGAGCTCGGTCACTCGGGAGGAGCTCAGAGTAGAACCGCTGTTCCTCCACATCGAGAGGAGCCAGCTGAGGTGGCTCGGGCATCTCTTGGCATTCTCCTGGAGGAGCTGGAGGAAGTGTCTGGAGAGAGGGAAGTCTGGGCATCTTTGCTTAGACTGCTGCCCCCGTGACCTGGTTCCGGATAAGCGGAGGAAAATGGATGGATGGAAAAAAACATCAAAAAGTCTTAATTGCCATTTTAATTTTGTAGCTAATTTTTCCATGCGAATAGCTTATTTATCAAAGGGGTTTGTATGCTAAATGTTTGTGCAAATGTATTCATTTATTTTGCATAGCTTGTGGAGTTGTTCTTCTTAGACCCAATGCCACTGACCTGCGCCTGGTGGAATCCAGGCAAAGTTTGATCTCGTCTGGACGGTGAAACATTTTGTGCACTCATGGTCCCATTGACTGCTGTCAGTTTAACAACTCTACGCGTTAAACTGACTTTACATAAGCTAACGAATGTAATGGAGAAACCCAAGTTCATGGACAAGTGGTTGGACGACACAGAACAACCAGCAATATTTCAATAAAGCATTGTATTTCCAGAAAATATCAGTATAATGAAAAATGTAAGAAAAGGGTGACATATTTTTATTTTTGTCAGTTTTATTGAGTGGATTGAATGTTAAATGCTATTGACCATGTTTTTGATAGCGAGGAACCGCAATCAGACACTTAAACCTGCGTTATCTGTATTTTGTGTAGTAAATTGCAGTATGAATGTGGTGGCTGAACTACTTTGCTTGGATGACACTGCAGTTCTCATGGTGAATGTGCTCATACACAGATACATACATACATACATGCATACACACACACACACACACACAGGCTACTACCAGGAGGAGGTGCTGCTCTGGTTGTATATCCACATACACACACCTCACACAGTCCTTACACAGTGATACAGTATGTGTACGTTACTCTGATGTGAAACACCTGTAGTCACTCAAGTGCCACCCTCTAGATAACAGCAACCATGTTTTCTCTTTAGTGATCTCCCCCCATTTTCTCTCCATCTTACCTTTTCGTGAATATGTCATAACACCCTTCTCTGTCCTCACTCTCTTTCTCTCCCCCTTTGATCTCTTGATAGATATTCGACTTGATGGATGCCAAAGCTCGGCAAGATTGCATCAAAGAGATAGACCTCCTTAAGGTAAAGAACCAGAGAAGAGGGAGCCTGCGTCATGCGCTGTGCTCTGTTCTCTTAAGGTGCCTCAGCTGAGACCTTCCACCACAGGAAAACAATTGATCTGCACTAGACGGCTTGGATTTTTGCATTGTGTGTGTGTGTGTGTGTGTGTGTGTGTGTGTGTGTGTGTGTGGGCACATGCACGTGCGCATGGTTATGAATGCAGAGGGGTGTATGTGTGTTTGTGCACACAAGAAAGACAGTGAATGAGTATGTGTGACTACAGTACATGTGTATTACTGTCTCCTTATGTCTTTGAGTGAGCTGTGTGTGTGTGTGTGTGTGTGTGTGTGTGTGAAGGGCGGCAGCAGTGTTACATCCCTCCAGGCTCACATTGGCTTTTTTTTAATGGCAAAACTATTGTTTTTTTTTTATCTTTCTGTAATGTTTAGAGCTGGGCAAGAGTGCATCAGCATGGAAATTTAGCATCCTCCCTCATGTGTCTCTTGATGTTTTACCTCCTCCCTCTTCTTATTCTTGCTTAGCTTTATTTTTCCTTATGAAGAGGTTTCATTTATCAAACTGCCTTAAATGTGTCAGCTGGGCTGCTCTCAAATACTAATGAACAAACAAATGTCTGCTTCAATATTTCTCCATCTGCAATGTTGTAGATGTGTGTCAAAGTTGTGTGTTTGTTGCTTGATCGCGTGCTTGTGCATTGATACTTCCCTGGTAGTGTTTTCTCCCATATTGTATATGTGCACTGCAGGTAGTTTGTGCACGTACAGTAAACATGCTCATATGTACACATTAGGGAGAACAAAAAAACAGTTAATTTATGGCAGTCAAACACCTCAGTGGAGCTCCCCAGGCTTTTTGGGCCAGTCAAAGACTGTGATACTCAGAGGCAGGCGAGGCCACGTATAGAGCTGTAATCTGTGTAGCAGATTATTGATTTGATGACACGAGACAGTGGGGTTTGCCTGGATCTGTATCTTTGACCTCCTAAGAGTGGTCAGGCCAGAGTTAAATGTCACACTCCACCAGATGACTTCTTTTTCTGTTTTTCTTTATGCATTTCCCATTTTTCCTTTTCCCCTCTCATTAGGTGGATCCTCTTTTTCCCTCCTGCTTGTACCTATCTCTGCTGTCTGTAGTATACCTTATTTGCTCAGTCACTATGTTGTTCCATTCATCCCTCCTCCTTCCCCTCTCAGAGCTTTGTGTTCCCTTCTTTTCATCCTGTGAGTTGATTGCTAGCGAACATGGAAGTTGTGCCTGGCCCTGTGCTGCCCAGCCAGCCTGATAATAAAGGGCTGAGTGTGAGAGAGAGACAGACCTTCCGCTTTATCCCCCACTAGACAGGCCAACAGGAGACACAGCCAAATCAGAATAATGAGAGGCACACTGGCATAGACCAACTGGAATGACACACATACTCATGTGCATGCACACAGAACACACACACACACACACACACGTGTGTGCACATACAGACACATTCAGTCATGGCCTAGCAACAGTCTGCCTATTTGTTTGTTTGTCTGTCTGTGTTTGTGTCTGCTCATTCATCTGTATTTCCCTGTTCTGGCGTGATGATTTCAACTTGAGAGTCTCACTTCTCACTCGGTCCTTTTGTCTAAATCCTTGCTGATAGGAGTGTTGAATGCAGAAATAGCCTGCTCCCTGCCAATCTGCTAGTTCCACCATTCTTGAAATCCCACAGCTGTGTGTGTATTCCTCTTGCTTGTGGTTACTATCAAGCCTGGATTGTATTCTGAAGACTAATGATCTGCCCTAATCAGCAGTGAGAAGCTGTAATGATGTCTTTGTGTTTGCTTCTTTGTATTGTGTGTGTTATGTGTTTGTGTAAAAATGTGCGGTGTGCGTGCATGTCTGGATTCTGCATCTGATTAGATTATACCAGTGGTTTACTGACAAGACAGAGAACTGGCAGCAACCAGCTTCATTTAACCTGATGCAGGGACTATAAATTCACTTTAATCTTTAGGTCTCTTTCAGCAGTATTTCTTTTGCAAGTTTAGTACATATTTAGTTTCTCTTCCAATGGACAAGCGACTATTGCATGTCTACTCATTTTCTTACTCAGTGATTTGAAACATACCAGTATGTTGTGCAACACAAGGTGCGACTATCTGCTGGCGGTGAGCATCAGACGCTGCTTTTACCTAATCTTCCTCAGCTGAAGTCTACTAAAATGTAGCAGACAATCTCTTCAGTCACTGTTTTCATTTTTCTACCAGCTGCTTTCCTGTGAACATGTTATTCAATTTATCAGTATACTGATAACCTACTTTATTATCATGGTTAGTTTTGTGCCATCAGCTTGCAGTAGTCGCTGTCTTGTTTTTCTTTGAAACACTTCACCAGCTCATCAAATATATCACATAGAGTTTTGCATGATTAAGTAATTACACATGCTGGTGAGTCTCAGCCAGTGTGTGTAATTACATAATCATGCAAGTCTCTATGTGATATTGAATGATTGTTGTATTGCAGTGGGCTGCCATCCGTCTTTTACATAAACATCTGCATGTGAATGCATCCCTTCATCTCTGAGATTCACGTTGTGGAAGAAGAGTGGGTTGGGACAGGTGGAGGGGGCGAGGGCTGGGGCCCGTCATCACTCCCTGGCTGTGTTACGGCGTGGAGCTGTGCGGAACGGCCACTCTGAGCCAAAACTACGTCTGGCAAGAGAGGACAAGAGAGTGAGAAGGAAAGATGGGGACATGAGGAAGGGAAAGAAAGAACAAATGAGAAAGAGGGTTGTGGAGGGATGCAGAAATGGAGTGGAGAGTGTAGTGTAGCGTAGTGTACTGTACTGTGCTCTCCCTTCCCCTCTTCTCGGCATCATTCAGAGCATGAACATTTCTTTAATCACAGCAGAGAAAGCAGAACGGTGCCGAGTGGAGGCCGTGTGTCACACTGCTCCGTCTGCTCGCATCGCGAACCCCCCACCTCGATGTTACCACGCCACACAGCTCCATGTCTCCATCGCACTCTGCTCACCTTGTCTTTCTCTGCTCTTTTTTTCCTTGCTCACCTTTTTTCCCCTCATGCACTGCCTCCTCACTCCACCCTGTCTCATCATTCTTTTTGCTTGTTTGTGTCACTGTCATTTGTTTTGTTGTTTTTTTTTTTTCCTTCATTGAGCCTCCCCTTTTTCTTGTTTACTACAGGGAATGTTGTTCCTGCCTTATTGACCAACCAACAGGAAGAAATCTCAGCCAGCAATGAGCCCGGGATGCTTGTTTTTCTGACTGCCAGCCATGTCAGCCTGTCAGGCGTGTGTGTGTGTGTGTGTTTGTGTGTCTCACACATGGGTTGCTGTCATCACAGACAGAGGGGTTGTTGTGACATGCCACCCAGCTTTGTCACACTTGAGGCCAAAACTGTCTCATTAGGTCCACGCTTACTAAACCGGGATTCCAAAGATGGATTCAGCAGTTTTGTTTTAATTGGTGGTGAAAGTACAGTGGATTGTACAACTCATGACATGAACCTCTGTAATTCATCATCTGATAGCTTTGTTTGAATATAGATTGTGTAACAAGTTTGCAAGAGGATGCTGATGTCTGTAGTGTCTACAAGGAGTGAGCTTCACTCTTGGATAAGCCAGTGAGATCCAGCACAACTCTCACCAACATGTCTTCTCTTTACTTTTTCCTTTCTTTCTTTGACATATATATTTTTTTTTCCCACAGCAATTGAATCATCCCAATGTGATAAAGTATCATGCATCTTTTATTGAGGACAATGAGCTGAACATAGTCCTGGAGTTGGCGGATGCTGGGGACCTCTCACGAATGATCAAGGTAAGGGGCACGAAAGAACAATCGCCATGCTGGCTCAAACTCAGGAGGCCGAACGAGCCAGTTGTTTTGTTCCTGTGGTCATAAAGTCGAGGAAAAGCACATCTCTACTCTGCTCATCTGATGTTGCTGACTTAAAAGCAACAATGTTACCGTTGCTTTGTATTTCCGATGTGCATTATATGCTCTTTTATACGACACATTAAACGTCACACTCCAAATACCGGGATGCCAGTATCTGTGTAATAGAATGGAATAGATAGATAAATGATTTTAATGCATGTCCAGGCCCTAAGGCTTAATATCTGACAAAAGTATTATCCAGGCCATCATCATATCTCATATTAGGTATGAAGAGGAAGGCTAGTGTGGAAGCAACAAAGTGCTGACGTGGCGATTCATAACTGAAAGAATGGTGGCAGATGGTCTGTGGTTTGCGGTTGTTACAGGATTTTGACAACCTGGACATTGACTCAGTCTGAATCATCCATTCCACACTGAAACCAAAACCCAATTAGTAGAAGGCCTCCTGCAACTCCCTTTAATTCCAGTACTCTGAGCTGACGTGTGCTCGACTGTGAAGGGAAGTGGTTAAAAATAAGCTATAATTGATATTCTGGTGGGGTTTATGAACAAGTGATACTTAAAACTAAACTTGTCATTTGTGGTAATATTTTAATATTAATTTTTGGTAAATTATGTGTTAATGCCTTTTCTCTCGTTTACATATTTTGACCAGGCCCTTAAAAAAAGCCCAGCTCTTCATATTGGCTTCATCTTCCTCAGAAAAGAGATGCAGAGCTTTCAGTGGTTCTAGACAGTAAAATTAACCTCGAGTGAATGTATAATCAAGTTGTATAGTATCATTAAGTACATAATATGTGACTTAGATCGATGTGTCAAGTTGCCGATGTCTTAAGCCTCAAGCTAGAAGATTTTAGTGCTGGGATTCTGCTGTTGAAATCGGAGCACGAGATGGAACAGGTCTGTTCAAAAGTGGTAGAGATTACATCCCAGAATTACCCAGTTATTCGTCTTTGACTTCAACCAAACCCCCAGTTATTATAAAAACCTGCCAGTATAGCAAATTAATGGTGTGCATGTAAAAAGCCCGGTCCTCTCCCATGCATAAATGATGCCGCAGTGTTGTATCGGCACAGCTCGACAAGCTGTTTGCAGTCCTACTCAGCAGCTCCACATCCACACTGTTCAACACAGCAAATTAGGAGAGGCGAGGATTAGCCGTACAAGAGAGTGAACATGGCAGGCTCAGCGCACACATACACACACTGGTATATCTCCAGTGCAGACATTTAGACTGAATACGTACATAAGGTATGGTATACTGTGTAAGCAAAGGATGTGCAGACACAACCATGGAAATAGACACACTCACAAATGTTCAGACATGCACTTTAAAAAGATGTAACATGGCAGCTTGAAGAGGTAAGATAACAAACCACTGAGCGTCACTGCTATCTTAGCTAAGCTACCGAGGATGCTGGGAGCATTCAGACTGTGTCATCTCCTTATGGCTGCTGACAACACACCCTCACATACACAAGTACACACCTCTCCTCTGCACCATTTGTCTCCTGCACTGTTCTAAATGATTTGTTTTTTTGAAATATAACAGTGGCAGTCCAGCGCTGCATGCCAGGGTTTAACCCCCACTCCTTGGGCAGTAATGTTTAGTAAATATATTGGTACAGTGTGCCATATGTAAAACAGAACCCCCAATGCATGAATTTAACATTTTTATTCTTTTTGATTTCTCATCCTCCACGCCTCTCTCCCCTTCCCTCATTCTCTATCACTCTGACCATCTCAGAATTCAAATGAAATCAAACACTCCTTGATTTGCATGCACTTACAGAATATTGCATGTACAGTGTTTCCTGTTAAAGGCATTGAGAAGAGGGTGGTAGTGGTGTTGGTGGGCGTCTATGTGCTCCCCCACTGACATCAAACAGTCCTCTGATATGGAAATGGGAGGGCAAGGGAAGAATGGCTCCTCACTGATGCTTTGTTTGGATCTAGGCCAAGGTCTATCCCTCCCTCTCCATCTCTCCATCTATCTCTGTCCCTCTCTTTCTCTCACACCTTCCTCCCTTCATCACCTATATTCTTTCCTTTCCTTCCTTCCTTCCATTTCTCCACCATTCACCTTATCCATCTCCCTCTCTCTTTCTTTTCTCTCTCTCATTTGTTCCCACTCATTGTTTTTTAGTGTAAATCTAACAGCCCTTACTTATCCTTGACCTCTGACCTCACTTAAGATGACAGGTCCTTGACCCCTTGTTTCTCTAGTAGACCCTGCTTCCTACTACCTGTTACAGTTTGATTAATATCCACAGTGTACGTGTATATATAGTGTGAACTTATACAGAGTCCGACAAGACAAATATCATACATACCTAATAAATTACTGTCACGGATTTTCTTTTGCTTGATTATTGTTGCAGCACTTGGAAGGTACCACAAATTTCTTTGCTCGGTCCCTGAGACTGCATGTGCTTTCCACTGTAGGCCATAGAGAAAATGAGTTGGAGTTTGGTTAGGGAAGGGACAGACTGCGGGGAGAGCAATCTGGGCTGCATTAAGTTTAGAGTCACATAGTTGGGGACTGAGTATTGATGTTGTTAAACACACACAGACATAAACACTTTGCTTCCATCTTAAAATGATATTTGGTGCCAGACAAGACCTTTTCCCTTTCCTATTAAAGTGTTTTATTTGTTCATTTCTTAAGGTAGGCTGTGTGCTTCTCTAATTTGAGGTGTATGTGCTTGTATTAACTTTACAGCACTTTAAGAAGCAGAGGAGGCTTATCCCGGAGAGAACCGTGTGGAAGTACTTTGTCCAACTCTGCAGCGCACTTGAACATATGCACTCCCGGAGAGTCATGCATCGAGGTAGTGTTAATGCACACACTGTACACACACGTTACGAATAAGAAGAAATTGGCTTATTTGTTGAGTATACAGTCAGATTAGTAAGAGAATCATAGAATCTGTTAAATCTGGACCAATGTGTGGTTATACTGTAAACTGCCAGTTACTGAGCCCCTATGGATGTTGGAAAAGGTTTTGGACTCTTATACATAACAATTAGAAGGACTTAAATGTTACAGCTGCTCCAGTGTCTGTATTCACCCCCTGTGAATGTTGTGCCATAGCAAGAAAAGTAATAAAATAAAAACTGTGCATACTTTAAAAAAATAAAAAAAAAGTTTGAGCAAACCACATGGAGATATTTTCACATAGGTGGCTAATGTCTCAAAGCACATGAACAAAGAGCAGAACCCTATTGGAATCAACAGTGGAGGATGTTTAGTAAGACTGATTTTCACAGACACAAATTTTGATGTTGATGTCAGAACAGGACAGACGTTGAAAAAGACCACTGATATGAATATGGTTGATATTTAAGCCTCTTTCAGCAGGGGGCAATGATGCTCCAATTTAACCTTCCAATGACTCATATGGCGCATACTGGATGCTTGGCTTTAACTAGAAGACTGTAAATGTTAGAAATGGGGCTAAAAGCTGCAAAACTGGGAGGAAAACGGTATCCTCTTGCACTTGAATTCCCACCTAATGGCGGTGAGAGTTGAAAATGAGGCGTTCACTATGATGAATTCTCTCTCATAAAACACATTTCATGTGTCTGCAACTTAATTTTTTACAGCATGCTAATTTGAACTTGACCTGATGAACGTTCATACGGTGGGAAATAATTTTTAAAATGTTGCAGCATATTTGACAAAAATGTATAGTAGGTAGTTGTTTGTTTAATGTTTTAGGTAAAGTAATAAAACAATCTTGTTAACTCCTGAAATGTGAGTAAATGAAAAAGAAAACCTGAAACTTTGTCATTATTTTAAGGTGGATTTACTTTAGTGTGAGCGGCCTTGTTTGACAGAGGACTGAAGTATAGATGGTACAGCACATCGATCAGAGAACAGTGTTTATGTACCAACGTGGTTTTAATAGGGCCCAGTTAAATCAGGCCTTGGATTCATGTCCGTAGGCTGCTGCACTCATACACAGCTACAGGTGATTTATTTCCGTTGGACTGACTGATTAGGACGCAGGGACACTAATGAACCCTCAGCGCTGAGATTTAATGACCACTTAACAGAGACTGCTTATTCAAAAGCCGCTTGCAGTAAGATTCAAAGGCCGATGTGAGTCAAATTAACATTACTATAGCATAGCAACAGAAAGGGTTCCTAGCATCCACAGTATTTTGTATTTTAGGTGATACACTTAATACTTGTAATGCAGACAGACATGCATTTTTTGTTTTGTACCACAGGTATTAATGTAGCATTCACGTGACAGAGTTTGAGATAAATGTAACCTGTTGATATGTACCCCTCCTCATCTCCGTCTTAGTCGTTGCCACTCCTCTCCATGCGTTTTCTTCTCCAGATATCAAGCCTGCTAATGTGTTCATCACAGCAACAGGAGTAGTGAAACTGGGAGACTTGGGACTGGGACGATTCTTCAGCTCCAAAACAACTGCTGCTCACTCACTAGGTAATTGAAAACACAGGTTATCCATACGTGGCTATTTACACTTAAACACAAATGCACACATACACACAAAGCTGCCACCAGTAATCAGCCAGTGTTGGATGTGTTCCATTAAGCTTGGTGAGCCCAGAGCCATTTGTCATGTACTGTAGTCATGCTGCCTGGCCAGCACTGTGCCCAGCCCCTTCATAGGCCACTTATCCACTTCCTGTCACCTTGACCTTTAAACACAGATAAAAACTGGGCAGAGACAGTTGACGCACAGCTCTGATTGACCGTGTGCCATAAAACAAGTCAGCCAGCTTTACAATCAGGGGTAATGTTGGCATTGATTGGTGTGTTTGTCACTTATAGGAAATAAGATCATATAACACTGCTTTGTTGTTCTAAAAGTGAGAATTGAAACCTCACATCGGCACAATAATTAAGCCTGGTTCGTTTGGCTAGTTTAATACTAGGAGTGCCAAACCTGAGACTGTATGAACTGGCAAACACGTTTAACTGCATCCGTTTAATGCACAGGGTGTTGTGCATAGGGAGTCGAGCCTGTAACTTCAAGAGGAGAGTGACATAGCACTTCAGTGATTCTTGATTTGGAATAGATGTAGCACTTTGTAACACTTTTTAAGCTTTGTGTCCCATGAGTGAAAACCTGCACCTCACTTAACACAAATACACACCCACATACACACATCTCCCTCACTTCTACAGTGTCCCAGTGTTGAGAACACAAGTGTACCTCTTTAACAATATGTTAACTGCCTTTGTCACTGTGTTGTTCAAGTCGCTCCCCTTCCTCACTTTTTTGTTGACTAGCATATAACACCTGCTCAAGACAAAGGCCAAAAAAAGCCACCACACTTGTACAATTTTCTGTATTATCAGTTCTCTTTAATCAATTTCCTAACTTTATTTTGACTATAACAGTCACACTGGGCAGTAGTTTTCTAGAAATTCTTCTAAGATAAATAAACAGCACAAATTGTCAAGTGTCTCGCAAATAATCATGTAATGGTCATTGGCTAAAGAAAAATCTCGACTTTCTGATAACACGTTGGACTTTTTGTTTTGGTTGAACAAAAACAGAAGCAAATAATTTTGTCTTTATAAATACTGCACAGTAATTAAATGAATAGTGGTGAAAGTCATTTCCTAATTGCACTAGTAATCTACTAAGCATTTGAATGCCTAGCATTAAACAGTTGAGATGATTACACTGGTTTAAACTTGGCCTACTGAGGTACATGCAGGTGCTATCCAGCTCCCCTGGAAATTTCCGCTGCTTCATAGATAGGAAAATTAATTCCACAGACAAATATAAATGCTGTCATTCACACTATTTTGTTTCCATATGTCAAACTGTTAAACAGTGCTCTATTCTCAGCTGCTGAACAGCAGCAGCCCAGCTTCTTAGAAAGTGTGAATCACATGATCAGCTCGACAGAAAACCTATGAGCTAAGCAGCCTGCAGTGCTGGCAGATCGGGTGAAAGCGTCTGTGATTGCTCAGTAAACGTTGAGTCCACAGCACCCTCTTTAGGCTGACAGGGGACAGGCAGCCCCACAAGCCGAGGGGTCAACTGGAGTACTCTCATCATGAATCCGAAGCAATCAGAACTGCTTTGTTAACCTACACAGAGGGGAGTATTTCTTCCAGTGTGGAGTCACTGCTTGTCAGGTGTATTTTGTTTTTACATAGATACATTTCACTTAAAACAGTTACACTGCCCTTGAGAACGGAACATTTACTCTGCACAAATAAGCGTGTGGAGCGTGCATATGAGTTTTTGCATCCTTTTAAGGCTATTTTCACTATATGAGGATGGCTGTAGAATACATTCACTAGAAGACGTTTCTAGGTTAGCATGACCTGTGGACAAAGATGACTCGGAGAGCATGATCCTTCCACCCTCAGTCTCTGGGTTTCCTCTTAGAATTTCTTGCATTTTTTTTTTCAAATAGCAGATCTTCTGTCTTTTTGTGCTGCTGCCGTTACCCTGTGCTACTTGTCCTTCCTTCTCTTTCCCCCTGTCCCTCCCTCTAGTGCCTTGACTTTTAGTCGGACAGAAAGATGAAGGTGAGAGAGAGAGAGATAAGGTGTGAGAAAACTAGAGTTGGAGCATTGAAGACAGCGCACAGAGTAAGAGAGAGAGAGGAGAAAGCAATGTGTCAGAAAAGAAAGGAGTATAAGAAATAGAAGAATGGGTGACAAAGAAACAGAAAAAGAAAAGGTAGAATGTGCTGGGTGCATGAGAAGAGTATTCGACAGAGTGACAAAGAAAAAAGTGGACCAAAAAAAAAAAGAAAGCAGAGAGAAAAAAGTTAGGAGGAGCAGAGTAAGAGGAGAGCATATGACAGTGTGACAGAAAGAATGGAGGAGCAAAAGGAAAGCAAGAGGGAGAGAGGGATGGAAAGAAAGAATGTGAAGAAGAGGTGTGTGCGCGCGTGCAGCCGCATGCCAGCATGGATCTGTAATGAGCCCAGCCACCCAGCTGTACAGTAGAGCAGGGTGGTAGAGCTGAGATGGAGGTCCAGGCATACAGCCTGTCAGCTCCCAGGCTTTCAACTCACCCGCTCAGCATCCTGCAGTCAGGCACACACACACACACACACACACACACACACACACACACACACACACACACACACCTTATGTCTCTTACACACACTGACTCTTGTCTCCTGTACAGTTCTATGTTCAAATGCACATGCACATCCATATGGGCTGCAATGCATGTGCATACACATGCAAAAGCAGCTAATCATTCACGTGGTTTTTCGGCATACATGCAAACCCGCAGAAACACACACGCACACACTCAGTGACACATATACATCCACACTCTTTGATATAAGACAGATATACAATCAAGCATGCAAAAGATGCCTAATACACTGCATGGGTATGTAGGGTCATGGCAGGAGTTAGATTAAAGAAAGAATGATAGGAACAGGAAAGCTGATACTATCAGTGGAGGAATGACAGAGGAGCCAATTGGCAGCAATAAGTGGTCTAATATACCTGTAATGAGAACAGTGTTAATGAAATAGGACTAGAGGAAAGGGAGGAAAAAGAAAAAGTAGTAAGACATGACTGTTTCAACAAATAATTATGACTGTTTGAACATGTGTATATAAAATCTTGGTTATCTTATAAAGGAAAGTGAGTCGTCAAAGAGAGAGGGGTAGGCGGAGAGTCAAATACGAGGTGAGGGCTCAGCAGGGCATGTAGAAAACTAAGATAAACATTCTGTAATGGCAGTGTAAGGGAATTCAGAGATTAACTGTGAGATTAAGTCAATTCTGGCTATGCCGCTGCCTAGAACTTCATGTCTTATGTCTTTGTTAAACCCCAACAGAGCAGAGGTTTCCAAACTCCTGCCCTGCATTTGAATGAGAAATTTGGTCCTATCCTTTGTGATTCCAGCAGAATACCAATCACTGTTTAAAACACAAAAATGTAAAACAGGTAATAGGGCAAAGAGTAGAGAAGGCTACACTATTACTATTACTGGATATCCCCCATGACATGCTTCACTATATTTAAATGGGCCTGTTGAAGCTTTAAACGTAAAGTGTTAATATGAAAATTGCAGCAAATCTGTGCTATCAAATCAATCAGCGTACCAGTTTGAGTTCATTTGACTACATTCAGCAGGGGTCCAGATGTGTGGGGTTCTTCTTACTGGCATCTCACCTCTTTTTACAACAACGCTTACCCTGTTACACAGAGTACAGTGTTGTCATAGCCACTCACAATAATGGAAATCAATCCCAACATGACTTTCAATTTATTTGCATGAATAAGTAATCTGCCCTTAATTTAGCATGCTGAAGGAGCCTGAGCCCGGTGCTGCTCCCTTTTTTTTAATGCAACAATTAGCATAAGAGAGACTGATTCTTTTTAATCAACTAATAATGAATGTTAAGGGAGCTTGTTCAGACTGCGCCTTGAGACCTTACAGCTCACACACACACATGCGAGCACGTAGATGCACATATACCACAATACCAACCTGATGACCAATTAAAATCACAATCCCCAGTCCCCTGTTTATTCTTCCACTCGCTCTCCCTTGCTTCTACTTTGCCTGTGCAGATGCTGATTATTTTTGGAATGACAGGTAACACTTCATTATTCAAATCTGCACATTTAAGATAAAAGCGTGTTTTCTCAACCCAATTAGATCTGCACCAGAATTAAAAGTGCTAGCTTTCATTTCAGTTCCCATAGACTTCAAATCTAATAGCCCTTGCTGTAATAGTTTTATTTTATATTATTAATTGCAGGTACATTAGCCGTTTCCTCTAACCTGTTAATGTAGCTGAATGGCTGTAGAGAGTTTGTGTGTATGTATGCATGTGGAAGTACTGAGTGTACAGGTATGGCTTTTTCCTGCAAGCCGACTTTTCTCCTGAGTTCTTTCCACCTGCGAACTGTTCTTACCTACCCAGCTCACTTCAGCTGTTTGTGCATACTGTAAACTCGACAACTACCAGTTGCCCTCCTTAACAACTCCTCCTCGTTCCTCTGTCTGCTGTACCTGTTTCCCGGTGGACATTTTGTATATAGGTTAGGGGCAAGACTGTTTGGATTGTTTAAAAATATTTTCGAAGTTCTTCAAGATTTTTTATGTGAACCCCGCCAAGCTAAGCATAAGCTACAAATAATGTCAGCGATGCTCCTGATGGATGTTGTCGACCAGCTCAGCAGAGCCTGTGTAGCTGTCATCATTGTAATTCACTAAGTTTTCCATTCACGTGTTTGCTTGAGAGGTTTTGGAATGAGCAGAGCCTGAGAGCTGCTCAGCACAGGTTGGGATTCTGGTATAATTTCCATCCCTTAACCATATGTGATTAATACAGAACATCTGTTGGATGTGTTTGATAGACTTTTACATGGGAATTCACAATGAACAGAAAGTAAATGTGGGGGGGGGGGAAGCAGGCAGTCAAATTCAGCTAAGAAAGCAGCAAATCTCCAAAGCCTCCTGCAGTGTGTTTTGGATGTGACGTCGAGCTGCGGTTCTTCTTTGTGTATGTTTGGGTGAAGGTCTGATTCTCTGGAGCTCTGCCAGTCGCCATGGCAGTTTGGGATTCTTAAGTTTCAAAACCAGTACCAGAAAGGCTCCACCACTGCTCCCTGGGTGGATTCACTGACTACTGTTTCAAATCATTACTGAGCCCCAGTAATCAAAACTGAAACATGTATATTTTGTGTGTGCGAGTCAAGTCTGCTCTAGATATGTACGTGACTTTGGGGTACTTGTACAATTGCATGCCTTGTATGGGTGTACATGATGATATCTAACCTTAATATACATCATCTTGCTTAAAATTAACAGACAATCCACGTTAAAGTCTCCCTCTGGTTTTCTTTTTTTGTACTCTTGCTAAAATATGGTGAGCATTGCAACCTCTGAATGTGTCACAGTTTGAGACTACACCTCCATTCCTCACCTGCTTCCTTGTACTGTGAGCTGTGTCAGTGATGTTGATGAACTGGGGAAGCATGGGTTTGCAATGCAAAATGTTAACGCTCACTCTCTCTTTGTCCTGTTCTCCTTCCCTGCCTCTGTTTATCTCCCTCTGTCCTCTTCTCTCGTTCTACCCTTCCTCCTCCCCCGCCCTCTCTGTTCCAGTGGGTACTCCTTACTACATGTCACCAGAGAGGATACATGAAAATGGATACAACTTCAAATCTGACATCTGGTCGCTAGGATGCCTGCTCTACGAGGTAAACTATGGGAATATGTGCACATACTGTCACCCTGCAGTCGACTGTAGGAGTGACGTGAGAACACACTGGCTCAGACACGCACATAAACAAACAAACCTGCCTCAATCCCACATACAATAGAGTACTGTAAGAAAATATATACGAACACTTGCGCTTCCCCACATGGTGATGCTGTATTTATGTTGACCTTTACGAGGCGTGCGAAACAAAACAGTGTACACACCCTCATTACAGATTAGTGATGAATCTAAATGGTCAGACACATTTCTTACTCTGTTATTCCTCCTGCTCCTCACTTCTTTCCCTGTGCTGAGTTGAAGCCTTAAGACTCTCCGAGTTAAAGTTCTTCAGCCTTGGAATCTGTTAAATGTTGAAATGCTGGTGAGTGAAGGGAACTGACATGGCCATGTGTTTTAGATGAGGCCGCCCAATGACACTGACTAGTTTGATTAGTCAGGAGCAAAACACCACAGGGCTCTGCTGTAGACCACACAGAGCAGAGACAAGCCCAGGAGGAGCACAAAGCAGAGGGAACAAAGAGGGAAGAGTGAGGAGCATAACAATGATAGACATGGACGATAGCAGTCAATCAGATTTTTTTTTTCCCACCTTGCCAAGGTTCATGTGCAGTGAATACACACACACTGACAGACACAAATTCAGAGACACACTGTCAGCTGAGGAAACACCCACAGTTTCCTCTCCTCCACTCTCCTAACTCCCCTGAGTTGCTGATCACTTGGGCTGCATTTCAACGCATCAGTGACTACACCTTCTCTACAGTGCCTCAGGCATGGAAGTGGAGATGGTGCAAGGAAGAAGTTTGAGCTCAGCTTGCAGGTCATGGTTGCTCAGAGACCAGTTCTTCATGCTAATTAGTTCCTACAATGCACTGCGGTAAAGCACAGCTGTAGTTGGCTGAGAGCAGTCAGTGCTGTGGGTCACATTCTGTTGCTTCACTTTTTATATATATGTAGTATATGTGTCTGTTTACATAGGATGTACAGTACTACTTTTACTATTAATAAAATACATATCGCTGAGTTATATTGCTGCAATTGCATAGTTTCTTCAGGTATTACTGTGTAACCACACAAGCACTGAACAGTTTTGTTTAAAGGTGGTTTTGTTTAAAGTTTGCTAACATATGTTTGAGAAAATGATGGAACACACCAATGTTCCTTAATGTTCCTTAACGTAGGGATTTGTATATGCCACGCTCTACGGTTCATAGCAGTGATCGAATTCATGCTGTAACTTGATTTCTTCTAAATTGTTCATTACTTTGCTGAGCAACCTGTTGATTTTGAAGCCATCATTTTGCTGCATGTGCAGCTGAGGATTACTTCGTCGCTGTTTCAGATTGGCGCAGTGCAACGATCTTTTATCCCCCGAACCGAAGGAGCAAAGTAGCAAAAGTGAAAAACAGAGGGAAACCTCTGTAAGGTGAAAAGGTTTAGGAATCTGTCTAGGAACAATATAAGAAAGTAGAGAAGGGGAAGGGAATAGGCAGTACAAGTCTAAAGAGAGAATGAAAAAGAGTTAGAAAAGAAGATCAGGCAGAGGGAGAGACATGGAAGGGGAAAATAACAAATAGTGAGAGCAGGGTTATAGATTGCTAGAGAGAAGCAGAAGATAAGTGGGTGTTCATTCAGAGAGAAAGTACTGTAGGTACAAGAGCACAGACAGAACTCCAGCCACCAGGTCAAGGTGAGCCAATGCAAGGAGCCTGTGGAGATGAAGATTTTACAGCCTTATTGTTACCAGAGCAGTGCTCGCATCGCGCCATTCATATTCTCTTTGAAGAACAGACCCTTTAGTTCCACTCTTCTTGATAAGAGGGCTCCACAGTGCATTCGTTGTCAGGAAACTTATCTTTTTCTCTCAGAAACTCTCCATTCCTCTTTGCTCTAGTCTCCTCCCCTCTGCTGTGTTCCCCTCCATGCGCCTGCCTTTTCCTCACTTAACCTTCAGGCATAACAAATTCACATAGATATCCACACCTTATCCCTTTGGTACTCATTGATTTCAGTCTGAACATACGGTGGAGGCTGAAAGTTGTGCCGGTTTTGTGTGTGCGTGCACCCATGCATGTGTGTATCTAGGGGAGTTGGGTTCCTTATGTGTGAAACAGATCCGTTTGAGAGAGCCTGCATTTTTCATTCGTGTGCCCGGGGGTTAGGTTAGCGTCCAATGGGTCTGTCCGTCAATACCTGGTCATTGTTTCTCTGTCTGTATTCATCTCCCATTCTGTTTGATCCCTTTCTCCTTGTGTCCAGCCTCATTACATCACCTGACCCTGCCCTGTGCCCCCTCAGCCAAATCCCTTACACTGTGGTAAACAGAGATGTTGCAGTCACTGGGCTTGTGTCCCAGGGCGACCGGGAACATAAGGAAGTGGTTTTCTCACATGCTAGACAGTAAGATTGCGGTTTCCTTTTTGCTTACAGTCAGAACCACCTTATATTTGTGTTAGTAACTCTCAAGCTCTTGCTGAGTGTGTTCTGTGTAAAAAAAAAAACATGCTTTTTACAACACACTCTTGGTTTCCCGCGTGTATGGAAGTGTTTTGTGTAAAGGTTAGCAGAGGAAGAGAATATCTTACAAAGCTTTACTGGAATGTGTCTCTTTCCTGTTTGGAGCGCAGCCATCCATATGTCTGACTGTGCCCATATCTCCTGTCTCCTGCCTCGTTCCTCTCCCCTCCCCTCTTGTTTTGCTGTTGGTTTTATGAGGCCCAAAAATGCTGGGTTCCCAGCAGCTGGTGTTTGAATGTGATAAGCTGCCCCTGTAGCTAGTTCTTTATATGTTTTCTGCAAACAAAGCCTGGGTATTCTTTAACCTGTTACAGTCCCTTGCCTGCCTGGTTGCTGGTTTGCCTGCTCGTGGTTGTTTTCTGTGTTCTCTTTGCTGGGGCAGGACCTCAGCTTGCAGTCCTGGGACACACCTGGGCCCGGTGTGCTCCATGTGTACTTCAGTCCAGGGCAGCTGCCAGTTGGATTCTCTCCTCCCCAGACACAGTGATGTGTGGTGCTCTTTTGGGTGTTTGTTTTTGTTTTCTTTTATGTTTTATTACAGCACAACACAGCACCCAACACTGCTGACTACAGATTTTTTCCCCATATACTTTGTATTATTAGAAGTTTTTTTCCTCCTTTGTGTTTAATACCAAATAAATTTAATTTGGCACTATGTGTTTCACCCATTTCTGTTGCAGTCTAAGAGCGATATTGTTTTCAATGCCAGGCTTTATTTTTCAGTGCCAAAGACTAAAGTCGTCAATTTGGCGCCATAATAACCCCATATAAAACCACATTTTGTTTTTACATGTGCTATGCGTTTCATATGTGTTAAACAAACGTGCTGTGTGTATTGGTTGAGCTTTAAAGTTGATGTTAGACTGCAGCTTCTTCTGCACTACCCATTCAAGCCAATATTAATGTGGCAATTTTCCACCACGCTGCTTTGTTTAAAAGATACCAATCTGGCATGGTGGGTCAGTGTTGATCTTCCTTTATTCTGCCATGAGAGGTAGTAAACTTGGTGCAAGCGTACCGTTTTGGCCTCTGTGTAGAAGGGGGGAGGCGGTCTGGGGAGTTGTGGGCGGAGGGGTGTGAAGTTTTGATGGAATGCTGTTTGAGCTGCTGGAGGATTTAAATTTTAACGTTAACACTGCTTGATCATAATTGTTGTTATCTTGTGCACTCTGCACAACAACTTAGTTCAAATCATGTTGTAAATGTGCAGGATGAGCAAAAGCACATCTCTACATCTCTGTTCATCCACCATTGTTGATTTGAAAGTAACAACATCACCAATATTCTTTGCGTTTCTTTCTCCTGTGTGTGTTACGTCATGTTGGATGTTTGCACAGGGGCAGCATTGTGCTGGCTTTTTCTAGTACAGTGTGCATTGGGCAAAGTTGCAATAAAGAAGAGCTTAATGCCAATATAGTGGAATCTCTGTCTAAAAGAGACTTTGTTACCTTTAGACAGAGCTTTGTTAACTATTGTCCTGCTTTGAGTTAAGTTGTGCCATGGCTATAGAGCGAGAGTCGTATCAGTGTTCTCATTTAACACCCAGCAAGAAAGCCAGATTTTTGTTGAACTATTCCTTTATATGTTACAGTTCAAAAGCTAAAACTTAGTTTAGTGGTAATGAGATGGGGACACAAGAATATTTTCTTTATAAGTTTATCTCAAAGATTGGCCCACTGGATCAATCTGGCACTAAATTCACCCTTATCTTGTTTCTCTCTTCTTTTTCCTCCTTCCTCACTCTCTTCTCCCTTTGTAGTGTGTTGAACTAGAGGAATGATGAGTCTACTGGGTGTAGGTATATTTTTAATGACTGTGACTTATTGCCTTGATTAATATATCATCATAAAGCCACACGAAGGACCAATGAGCACATAAAAAAAAAGTGTGAGAGAGAAAGTGATAGAGAAAATGTACGTTTTACATCGGTGTTAATATCTATGTGTTTATTTTGCTGTGCCATATGCCTGTGATCGTGTGTGCTTATCAATGGTTAAGTGAGAACTTGTGATAAGCTCTTCTGTCCTCGGCTGTAAGGGCTCCAGGGATGGGGGTGGGCTGGGGGGGGTAGACAGGAGACTCTTGCAGCTCTTTCTAATTGGCATACAGGGAGAGGAGCTGGAGAGAAATCCACATCAGTGTTAATTAAACTGGAAGGCCCAATACAGACCTTTTACACAAACAGGGATGCTGGCTTTACATGCCTGGGTTGGGGAGAGCACAACCTGGCCGGCTGAAGAAGAGCCGAGGAACAAAGGAGGGAGTGTGTGTTCTGCCACCAGCAGCTCACACCCCTCACACAGACAGCAGGCATGCGTGTGCATTGTATGTCTTTCGAATATCAATGAACCATGCACACACACTCACACACCGGGGCCTCGGAGGTCAGAGAGTGAGTCAATCATCTAACCCATTGCGACGACACTGTCTGAAAAAAGGAGTGTGTGTGTGTGGGCATGCATCTTTATGCTTGTGTGTGTGCTGAGAGCAGGGGGCCGGCAGCTGTCAGGGGCTAGGAGCAGCAGGCACTAATGAAGCAGATGAATAGTGCAAAAACTCCCAAATACAAACAGGACAGTTGACATTTTTCATCTGTCAAAACTAGAAGATGCATGAAAATACGATGGGGTCTTGTTTAACCCTTTGCCTCCTGGTGTCTGTAGCTGGCTGATTTTCTTCTTTTTCTCTGTCTGTTTCTGTCTTCACCTCTTTCTCTCACTTACTGAGAATTTTACGTTTTTGGGAAGCACAAACCCGAAGGCATACACACTATCTCTTATATACAGTACTAAAAGGTGTCTGTATACAACAAAACTGACACCCTTGTGCAATATCATTAAAATGCTAAATGATTAAAAATTGTACCATCCTACAGTAATTGCATTTTTTTTAAGTTGAAGTGTCAGACAAAGTAAGAAACCAGACTGTGAGACTTCATAAAGATGCCAGAGGGTACAAGTGCATCATTAGGCTGTTGAACACAAGCCAAACACAGTTGGTAACAGTGGTTTGGGGATGTAGGATGTTACAGTACCAGCCAGGAGGTGCAGTGCCCGTCCTCAAAAATTACCTTGAAGTCAAATTTTACAGAGACGTTTCTGAAATAAAAGTCCCAGATGTTACTATTTCCAAGCACTATGCTAGACATTACTCAGTCTTTTGGACTGGCATATCTCACACATACAAACATCTCCAAGGAAACGGTGACAGTTTGTTATTGTTGTAACTCCAGACAACTGTTTCCAGCGACAACAGAGGAAGCACCGTTCTTGATATTGCGATTTCGACATTTTTCACACTGTTCAAAAACAAAAACTTAATTCATTTGATAAATTACCGAGCCCTACTCTGAACAGGCTCAAACTAGCAGTGTTCTCGGTTTGGACCCCCTCTGAGTTCACCTGGAGTTGTTTTCTGTTTTTGCATTTTCCGAGCTTTCAGTATGGTTTTGAAAAAGTAATTAATTTCTGAAATGAACATACTAAGTATCTGTTGACCTCAGAAGTAAATGTCAGTTATACATTTTGGTTTGTTGATATACCCTGAGTGTGTTGTTTGAAGTTGGAACTAAAACAATATGGCAGTATCCCTTTGGAGACGTCATCTGTATTCATTCTGAGTATGTCTGTCTCTTAATCACCATAGAAGGAAATCAGAAATCTTGGGTTACAGATTATAGGACATTGTCATGAATGGAAATGCATCGCTGCTGACAAACACAATACACATATCCATATGCATCACTGTCAGTTGCCTACTGTGCTAGTCTCAGTAGTGACTGTTGGGAGAGACGGAGATGCTCTTGACTTCATATGTGTTTGTCTGAGCCTATATTGTATTAGTGCGAGTGTTTGATTAAGAGAGCGGATGAATGAGAGAGAGTGAATTATGTCCAGAAGTGAGAGAGCCCACTGAGATTCTGCTGCTGTTATCTTGACTTCCCACTGAAGCTGTGACAGAGACACTGTCAAAATCTGCTCAGCAGGGAACAAGAACTTTTCTCTCTCTGCACCATCAGTGTCTGACACATCATTTGGTGAAGACTGAAATGAAGAAACCACCTACAAGTTGGTGATGTGTGAGGCACTTTTTGGCTAATGTCAGTGGGTTACACTCATACTGTAGCTACAGGCAACAAAACAAGACAATCTCCACTTGGCAGTTTTTTTTTATTTGTCATAGTAGTAGTAGTTCTTGTGACTTTACAGCTACTGGAATGAAAAGGCCAATTGACCAATACCACTTATTTTGCATTCTGGGAGCGCTCACTATCATTATGTGGTCCAGTGGGTTTGTTTCTGTAGCTTAGAGACAACAATGTGCAGAAAATGCTGATGAAATCACCTGGTGGTTGTTTGTGTGCTTGGCTTCCATAGCTCAGGACAGCCTGTCGCCATTTTACCTGAAGGACAGATTTTGTTATTCCAAACCTTTTATCTTTATGGTGCTCTTTACATAGAAATGTAGAAATGTTGTGTCTTCATAGCACCTGATATTGTGGAAGGTGGCACCTTCACACTCCCCTGTTATATTCTGCATGGAATGACTTCATTTGGATTTCTATCTGGAGATGTTGTTTTTAATCTGCTTTCACACATACCAATTAGCAGGTTGTCAAACACTTACTGTTCATTTTCCAATTCCAGACACAAGTAAAAAAAAAAAAAAGTTAAAAAAAATAATATTAAACAA